CCCCAGGAAAAGACTCTGCCATCTTTATGTAAAAATAAATAAATGGAGGGGAAAAGGAGACCGGAGACCGGAGACCAGGAGACCAGTTCAGTAGGTCTTAACTGGGTTGTCATGAGAGCCTGCCAATGGTGCCCCCGCTGCTGCCACTGTGGAGTGAAGCTGTTTCACATGCCTGTTTTTAGAAGGCACATCAAAGCCAACCTGAGAAGCAGCCACAACAGAAAGGCACACATGCCTGCATTACGTTATACAGGCAGGCATGCTATTTTCTGATGCAGCACATCCTGAGGATGGACATCTGTAGGGCAGTTCTGCCTGGTGGCAGTGACATTAATCTCCAGGCTGCCACTGCCATAAGAGCCAAACCAGGAAGAGCTGCAGTGGCGGTGATAAGAAGGGGCTATGAGTTGGGGGGGGCAGGCTGCAGCCACCCCAAATTTCACCATAGCCCCTACTCCCAGTGCTGCTGCTGCCCACCCAGTACAGCCCCAGCACTTCCCAGTGCATGGGTGGAGGTGGAGCACTGAGCCAGAGCTGCTTTCTGGGTGGGTGGCACCGTGCTGTGAGGAGGGCCTGTAGGAGGGCTATGGCAAAATTTGGGGTGGCTGCCCCCCCATAGCCCTTCTCCCAGCACTGCCACTGCCCACCCCTAGCCCAGCCCCCACTGAGAAGAGCCTGGCACAGCCAGCTCCTGCCTGCAGCTTCAGTCTGCCTGCCCCTCCCTGTGCAGACATAGGGGCACATGTTTTCCCTCCTCCCCCCACTCTGTTCTGCCTGGCTGGGCAGCCCCCAAAATCTCTATCCATGCACCCCTACTGACAACCACTGAATTAGTGCAATAAGAGCTTTGAAAAAGTAGGATTTTAGATGAACTAAATGAACTGCAAGAGTAAAGTTATATCACTCAGTCAGGACCCACAGGAGTAAACCGCACCCACATTAACTTCCAAATAGTTCCTGAGCTGCTCAGGAGTGCCCCTGGTGGCACCTGCCCACTGGCACCCAACCCAGGCGATCCTGGGAGTTGCCACAACCATGGAGGGAAGCACCCCCTGAAGCCACAGAGGGAAGCATCAGGTTCCTGCACAGCTCAGGCAGGCCCCAGGAAGAGAAAAAAGGCTCACTGCTTTCTGATTTCTCTCTTCTGTGGAGCCTGCCTGCACAGGCTGCTGCTGGGTCCCACAGCCCCTTGGAGGCGTTTTATCTTGCTACATACCAAACTCATTTAAAGCAGAATATGCCACTGAGCGTGCAAACAGCAACGCCACTAAAGCAGAATACACCGCCAAATGTGAAAACAGCAAAACTATTAGAGGGGTGCAAAAGAGCATTTAAGCCCCGATTCAGCTGTGCAGGGGAAGGAGTGTGGCCCTGCTTTGACCCACTCCCCAGGGTTGGGATTTTGGCAGCAGGGAGGGGTGGCAGTATTAACTGCCACTGTTCCCATGCCACCAAGTTTTGCAACCCTTCAGAAGCCCTGTGGGCCAGATTCCAAGGCTCCACAGGCTGCATTTGGCCCACAAGCTGGAGGCACCCCTGTTCTAAGTAATTTAAAAATAAAATATTTATTACCTTGTGTTAGTGCAAGTGAGTGATAGTGTCCACAGGTGACCTGTAATACTCTGTGATTCAATAAACCATCTATTTTCCTGCAACAGATCACAGGATGACCAGATTAACCTGGCTTCTAGATAATAAGAAAAACTCATTTATGTTTTAAAAAATAAAAAGGCTAAGATGCTTTAGAAAACCTATACATTTAAATCTGTAATACCTCCAAGCCTACTCATTAGCCATTCAGAGTTTTCTGCATGTAGTTGTTTCTCTATTAGATAGTGACATGAATATAAGCATAATATTTTTACTTTCTTTTTAATGTAATTTGTCCTGTTGTTCAGCTGTCTGATATTCATGCTGAAATTAGCAGGCACCAACTCATGATATTCCACAAGCATTCACAATGGATTGCTTACTTAACCACAGCAATCTAAGTAGTCTTTTTGACAAGCATTTGATAAACTCTGTAAGCACTACAGCTAGAGGGTACAGCAGCAGCTAGAGTTAAACACTGACAACATGCTGCCCTGCTAAAAGTGCCCCTTCAGTTGCCTGTAGCTCTGCCAAGCTTTCTCCCTTAAGGCTTAAGCTTTCTAGGTCTGGCTTCTGCCCAATTGTGAATGTATTTAGGAATACTTAAGTGAATATGATTCTGATATTTAATCTACTGCAAAAAAAAAAAAGTGGGGAAAATAAATATGCTGCATTTTTACCATCATGAGCCTCCCCCCCCCCCTCTTTTGAAGAGATCTGGTGTTTTACCAGTTTGGGATGAAATTTTCAAATTTAGTCTGAGGACTGGCCATGGGTCTGACTCTTTTGTGATCTGATAAAAATCTATCATGGATGCTTTTACATGTGTTCCAGGGGTGTTGGGGGGGGGGGGCTTTAATTAGAGCAGCTCAGAGGGCCACTGTAATTAAAGCATCCCCCCCACCAGACACTCCTGGAGCACATGTATAAACACCCTAGGTCCCCTCAAGTTTTACAGTACGTGTTTTGGGCCAAATTCAGCACGAACAGAAATAGTAATGTAAATCACACATCAAGTAGGTGAGAGTCTGAAAAAAGGAGTTGCCTTGCTTTGCTGCATACATCCACTGCTCTGATATTCGCAGAGGCTGAAAACTTTAACCTTCAAGGATCGCTAATTTGGGTATGCAAAAATAAGACTGGTATCTCCTGCTTTAACTTGTGCCTTGACTTTTGGGGGATGATTCAGTCACAAATCCTGCTCTGGCGCAATTCCCATTGACTCAATAAACATTTACTATATTTACTTGAACCTAAGGTAACAATGAATTTAAGACTAGATTAGATTCTTACATGGAAAATGTATAATTCTGTTATAATTTTCCATGTATGTAATTTAATTATTGGAGAATTGTCTTTAATTCATCCTCTGCCCCCAACTGCTACAGGGGGGCAGGTGGTATGGGGAAGTCAACTAGTTTGCCCCTGCCCCCATAACACCTCTGTCCCCTGCCTTCTTTCCCTGCAGCCTCAGGCCCCTCCTTCCTCCTCTGCTCCCCCTCCTGCCCCCACCCTCAGCCTCTGCTTCTTCTTCCCCTCTCCCTCTCAGCCTCCGCTGCTTTGCCCGCAATCTGCCAACCCCCACAGCAGCCATGTAGGTTGTGTGCCACTGCTATGGGAAGGACTGGGGCCATGCTCCATGCCCCAGGCTACAGTGTGCATAGAGCCAGCTTGCACAGAGCAAGGGTAAGGCAGGGAGGGAGAGGGGCAGGTGGGGGAGCAAAAGTTGCATGGATGGTGGGGAGGAGATGGGAGAAAGAGGCTGCAGGGGAGAGATGACAGGGTGCAGAGGTAGTGGGGTTTGGGGCATGGGGGCTACAACCCTGGGTAGAGGCTACAGCCCAAGC